TCTCCTCCTCCTCCTCCTCCTCCTCCTCCTCCCCGTCCTCCTCTACCTCCCCCTCCTCCTCATCCTCCTCCCATTCCTCCCTCTCTCCTCCACTCCTTTTTCCTTATGAATAAGGAGTAGTGGAACACCAGAAAAGTCTGAGTCAAGAAGAGCATGTCGGAGTGAGAGGGTCGGAATGTGTACGAGTGAGTATGCGTCTGAGGCGAATTCCCTGAGGGGTCTGAGTGGGCCTGAGTGAGTCTGAGTCTGAGTAGGTCTGAGTGAGGACTCGATGTGGCTGAGTCTGCGTGAGGAAGAATGATTACGTGATGGACCCCACGAGGAAGACTGGGCCTCTGATGGACCCCGTGATGGTTGTGAGTGATACGAGCATGATTGTCTGAATGATATGAGAGTGAATAAGAGGAAGAGAAGGAGAAGGAGGAGAAGAAGAAGGAGGTCCAGAGGCGTCTAAGTAATCCATATCAGGATATGGGGAAAACATAGAGACAGATCCCAGGATTCCCCGTATAGTCAATATCTCTAAATCCTCGTCGTCCCGTGCACTTCCCATGTTTTCCCGTACGTTTCTGGGAACTGATCTTATGGATGCCTGTGCTATTGTTGTCCCACGCAGACGGCGCCACCACTGCGACGCAAACACACACACACACACACACACACACACACACACAACAAAAAAAAACACACACACACACACTGACACACACACACACACACACACACACACACACACACACACACACACCACACACACACACACAACACACAACACACAACACACAACACACACACACACACACACACACACGCACGCACGCACGCACGCACGCACGCACACACACACACACACACACACACACACACACACACAGCCTCGCGCGCAGCGACGAGGTAGAGACAAGAAGTACCCGCCCGCGGGCGAGCCACCCCAGATTATGCATGAGACGGCACAGTGGAGCACACTGTCGCAGTGAAGACCCCTCCTGCGGTCGGCTGGTGCCAGCCTCTGCCCCGGACGGGGCGGAACTCGGTCACGCCTCTGGGAAGGGGGCAGGTCCCTGGAGGTCCCTCGGGATGTGCCTGGGAGGCTTCGGGGAGAAGTCGGGAGTTGCTAAAGGTGCCCCTGGCCCAACGTGCCCCCAGCTTTTCGCTCCACGTTGGAGCCCCATGGGGCCCTCTGGGCCTCGTGAGAAATGCTCTGGAGGCCGTTGGGGCCTCCTTGAAGTCCTGGGGTCACCTTGGGCCAGGGGGACATCTAGCAACACCCGAAGACGGTGGGAGGGGATGCAGAGGAAGAATCAACGGCACAAACATAAACGTTCGGAGCTCCTCGCGGAGCTCCAGAAGCTTACGGCCACGAGCTTTGGGGTAGTGTGTCGCTCCACCGGGGTTCTCGCACACCACGCTTTGCCGCGACACACTATCCACTTCCCCATTCCCGAGCGTCAGTGTCCCGAGCTTCTCAAGCCTCCCGCCCCGCGGAGCGGAGCGACACGCAATCCACACGCAAGGCATAGCGTGTCGGTGGGGCCGCCGTCGCAACACGCTACAGTCGAACCTAGGCCAGAAGAACATTCCTCAAAAACATGAGACCCTCCGTCGGCCGCAACAAACAGAACATCCAAGGGTACTCTCCACAGGGTGCACAATAAGACCCAACAAGCACGAAGAACAATAGGGCACCCTCCCCGAACCGACCTCGATCTTATACCTCGGTCCGACTTCATCCAAAAGTTCCCGACCGTATGTTTGCGAAGTTTGTTATTCGACGGGGGTGGGCACCGACTCCCGCGTGGGCAGCTCTCCCTTCCCGCTCCCGCCGCCGCGCAGGGCACGACTCACCACAGGCTCATCATCGTCATCATCGTCATCATCAGCAGCATCCACAACAATTACAACAACAGCAAAAAACACAACAACCACAACAACAACAACAACAACAACAAACAACATAACAGCAGCAACAACAACCGCAGCAGCAGCAGCAGCAAAAACAACAACAACGACAACCACAACCACAACAACCACCACCACAACCACGACGACGACGACAACGACAACGACAACAACAGCATCAACAACAACAACGGCAACAACAACAACAACGACAATAACAACGACAAACAAAAAAAACAGAACCAACAGCAACGATAACGACGACGACAAAGACGACATCAACAACAACAGCACCGATAACAACAACCATAACAACAACAACAACAACAACAACAACAACAACAGCAACAACAACAACAACAACAACAACAACAATCATTTTACCCGAACGCTCAGTGTTCTCCCCAGTGCCAGGGTTTTCTTGCGACACCAGCCAATACCCCCACTTCGTGGGGGGGCCGTTCAAGCTCTACCAAATATCCAAACGACTCTTCGAGACCACCCACACCCAGCTTCCCGCCCTATGACGTTGGGACACTTCACTTCGTGGCGTGCGGACGACCCTGGCTACTACACTGGCGTGGGGTACACACCCACAGAGGTTGATCACATCTGTTACATATGATGTGGTACACGGTACACGTGAGATGGTACGCAGTGCCAAGATAGTTGGTCACATTTTTGGGGCAAATTCGTGGGGATGCGATTACAGAAGTACATGTGTTACACTGATGTTATACAGTCCCAAGGATGACGCATGCATTGCTCATAGACTCATGGCGCTATGATCCTAACTCTCAGTGCCCAACGCGCGCGTGCACAGCCAGACGGAGGGAGAGAAACACATGTATACAAGGTTCGTGACATACGCACGGTCCACCATGTTGTAAACGATCGCATGCACGGTAAGTTCTGAAATTATACGTATGTACAAGCAGACATGCGAGGGAGAAAGGGAGATGGCCATCGACAGTTCCAATACGGCTCCAAGGCGGAAGAGGGGGAGGAGGAGCAGGACAAGGAGGAAAGGAGAGAAGCGAGAAAGGAAGAACGCAGACGGCGCGGCTCTGGACACAAAGGGGTGCCATACTTTCTCCTGCTTTCGCAAACAGGTCCAGTCACACGTAGGGGTATACTCAACCGAATGGTCTTCGCATCCAGAAGCATACTAAAGGCGCGACGCATCGTCGTCTGCGATGGCGCGGAGCGGGCGCGTGGGTGCCCGGCTGCCTGGCTGATACACGTGCGGGCCTGGCTGATACCCGTGCGGTCCCAGATGCCCAATGAGATTGCCGATACGCCTGCTGGCGGGAAGGCCGGTGCTTGCATACGGCAGTGCTACCGCGAGCACGTTGTGGACCTGCGGTGGCAAGGCCTGGTAATCGAGCATGTTCGGAAGCTCGTCGCTCTGACCATACGACCGCCATACGGGCAACCACCACCACTGGTCTTGACGCGGATACGTGATCTCTGTGCCGACCTCAGGGGATACGTTCCAAAGGGCCATTTTCTGCGGGTCCGTACCCATGAAGGCCGCGTGGTACGCAATGAATACGTCCAAGGGGGCTTCTTGAAAGCATGTTGGGGCCTCTTGGGGGCTTATTGGACCCTCACGGCGGACTCTTGGGGCCTCTAGAACGCCTCCTGGGGCCATCTTGGGGGTCTCTTGGAGCCACCTTGGAGCCTCTCTGGAACCTCTTGGGGGCCTCTTGGAGTCCTCTTGAAGCCTCTTGGGACCATCTTGGGCGCCTCTTTGGGCCTCATGGACGCCTCTTGGGGCCATCTTGCGCGCCTGTTGGGGCCATCTTGGGTTTTAAAGATTCATCAAGAGACCGCGAATGGATTTCGAGATTTTTCGGATGAGAAAGTAGTGCGTTTTCATATGTTTTCTGAACATCGCATCTTGAAATTATTGAAAACCCATTGTGTTTGGCAGGATTTCGACATGCGCGCGCGGCGGCCGCGCGCATGTGCACTTCGTCTCATTTTTTGCAAGGGATGGTGGCCCTCGCAGGCGCGCAACCGTTGTTGGAGAAGTTCAAAGCACCTGAAGAAGTAGCACGCAAAGACCCTTTTGACAGAAATGTTTAAAAAGTGGTGTGTTTCCTATGAATCCGCAAGAGCGCGCGGAAGGACATTTTGACAATTTTTTCTTAAAAAACCATTGGGTTTTTGATGTTTTTATGTTAAAATCGCTACGAAACCTAAGGTTTTGGAAGGATTTCGTCTTGCGCGCACGAATGTCCACTTTACCTTATTTTTTGCAAGGGATTCTTGCAATTTGATCAACTAAGAACAAGAATTTTCATTTTCTATTGTTTTTTGCAAGGGAAAACGAGCGTCAACAAAAAACCGGATCCGGAGCTCATCCACTTTTCTGAAGCTTTCGCGAAAAAATGATGAAAATGTAGCTGCGGCCTAGGCGCGGCGCAGAGGTCGCGCACCAGGGGTCCCAACAATAATAATTCTTTAGAAGGAATAATGTTCAACAACAAACATGTTATCAGTGTTCACTCTTCGCCGTTCGCGTGCCACTCAACATGTAGACCCCCAAACCTTCGATGGCCGCCCGCTTCGTTGTCGATCGTACCTCCTCCAGGGGCATACCCTCTTTGCACAACAACGCAAGGAGCAAACGACAGCAACGAGACTAGGGCGGGGGGGGAGGGCAGGAGATCTTGGGGGCCTGGAGATGAGCACCAAAACCAACACCAGGGGGGGGGGGCCTCCACTGGGAGAAGATGATCCTGGATGTTGATGCTGGTGGTACTCCCTCGGCACCTAAGAAGCCTGAATATGACCACCATCACAGAGATCAGGATCATCTTCCCTGGTAGGGGGCAACCGCCGATACTGCTGCTACTGCCAATCTCTAGGCATCCGGAGATCGGGGCTCCTCCAGCGCGACCTTGGCCTTCAGCTGCAGCCCGAAGGGCATCTTGTCGCTCTCGCCTGCTGGGCGGGGACCCCCAGACCGAGGGAAAGGGAGAGACGCGGGACCTCCTCCTCCTCCTCCTCCTCCTCCTCCTCCTCCTCCTCCTCCTGATCATCATCCTCTCTATCATGCCTGTCCTCCTCCTCCTCCTCCTCCTCCTCCTCCTCCTCCTACTCCTCCTGCTCCTGCTCACCATTACGATCACCATCACCATCACCATCATCATCCTCATCCTCATCCTCATCCTCATCCTCATCCTCAGAATCATCATCCTCAGCATCACCATCATCATCATCATCATCATCATCATCATCATCAGCATCATCATCATCATCATCATCATCATCATCATCACCATCACCATCACCATCATCATCATCATCATCATCATCATCCTCATCCTCATCCTCATCATCATCATCATCATCATCATCATCATTATCACCATCAGCATCATCAGCATCATCAGCATCATCAGCATCATCATCAGCATCATCAGCAGCATCATCATCAGCATCAGCATCATAATCAGCATCATCATCAACAACAGCAACAACAACATCACCTTCATCATCAACATCATCACCATCATCATCAGCAGCATCAGCATCATCATCAGCATTATCACCAGCAGCATCATTATCAGCATCGCAACCATCATCATCGTTACCCTGGTCGTCATCATCATCATCATCATGATCATGATCATCATCATCATCATCATCATCATCGTCATCATCATCACCATCTCATCACCAGCATCACCTAATCACCAGCAGACTAAGCAACACCAGCACCATCATCAGCATTATCAACAGCATCAGCATCATCATCATCAGCAGCATCATCACATCATCATCATCATCATCATCAGCATCATCATCATCATCAGCATCAGCATCAGCATCAGCATCAGCATCAGCATCATCATCATCATCATCATCATCCTCATCATCATCATCATCATCATCATCAGTATCACCATCACCAGCATCGTCATCGTCATCATCGTCATGCTCATCATCATCATCATCATCAGCATCATCAGCATCATTATCATCGTCGTCATCATCATCAGCATCAGCATCATCATCATCATCATCTTCATCGTCATCGTCATCGTCGTCGTCATCGTAATCGTCATCGTCTTTGTCAAAATCAGCCTCATCATCGCAACCATCATCATCATCAGCTGCAGCAGCAGTCTTGTGTTCGTCATCGTCATCATCAACATCATCATCATCATCGTCATCATCATAATCATCATCATCAGCATCATCATCATCACCATCATGATCATCATAATCATCAGCATCATCAGCAGCATCATCAGCATCAGCATCAGAATCAGATCATCATCAACAACAGCAACAACAACACCTTCATTATCATCATCATCAGCATCATCATCATCATCATCACCATCACCATCACCATCATCATCAGCAGCATCAGCATCATCATCAGCATTATCACCACCAGCACCATTATCAGCATCACAACCATCATCATCGTTACCCTGGTCGTCATCATCATCATCATCATCATCATCATCAGCATCATCATCATCATCATCATCATCATCATCATCGTCATCATCATCACCATCTCATCACCAGCATCACCGAATCACCAGCAGACTAAGCAGCACCAGCACCATCATCCGCATTATCAACAGCATGAGCATCATCATCAGCAACATCATCACATCATCATCATCATCAGCAGCAGCATCAGCATCAGCGTCAGCCTCATCATCATCATCATCATCATCATCATCATCATCATGATCGTCATCGTCATGATGATCATCATCATCAGTATCATCATCACCAGCATCGTCATCGTCATCGTCATCATACTCATCATCATCAGCATCATCAGCATTATCATCGTCGTCATCATCATCAGCATCATCATCATCTTCATCGTCATCGTCATCGTCGTCGTCATCGTAATCGTCATCGTCTTTGTCAAAATCAGCCTCATCATCGTAACCATCATCATCAGCTGCAGCAGGAGTCTTGTCTTCGTCATCGTCATCATCAACATCATCATCATCATCGTCATCATCATAAGCATCATCATCATCATCAGCATCGCCGTCATAATCGTTGTCGTCATCGCCATATCATAAACAGCAGATGCAACACCCTCGTCCTCCGAATTCGAAATCAGCAGCATCGGCATCATCATTATCATCAGCATCATCATGATCATCAGCATCGTCTTCATCATTTGAATCAGCATCACCGTCATCATCATAATGAGCATTATCACCAGCATCATCGTGATCGTAATCAACATCAGAATCGTCGCAAGCGTCTTCATTTTCATAATATGCATCATCGTCAGCATCATCTTCCTCATGATCCAACATCATTCGCATCATCACCACCATCATCCTTCATCGCCATCGCGAACATCATCGGCACGACCCTCATCATTAGTATCCTCATCGTGATAATCATCATCAACACAACCATCACCGTTATCATCACACTCCTCATCACACGAATAATCATCATCACCCTCATCATCAAATACAGCATCCTCATCATCATGGCCAAAGTCATAATCATCATACTACAGAGTTACAATCATCATCCCCATCATCCATCATCCGCATCATCATCCACATCATCGCCAACGTTTTCCTTCAGCGTCATCGCAAATATCATCAACATCACCCTCATCATCAGTATCCTCATCATCTGCAGCATCATCATCATCACCACCATCACCAACACCATCATCACAATCATCATCGACGTCGTCGTCGCCATCATGACCGTCGTCATCATAGCTCGCAGTCCTTCTCCTCATCCTCCTCCTCATCCCCGTCCTTTTCCTCAACATCCTCTTCCTCCTCATCGTCACCATCCTCATCATCACCGTCATCACTATCATCACCGTCACCATCCTCATCATACGCATCCGCAATCCCATCACCATCACCATCACCGTCGACGTTGTCCGCTTCCTCGTCCCCTTCGTCTCCCTCCCCCTGCATCATCAGACAGCGCGCGGCCGAGCTGGCGCAGCACGTTGCGCTGCAGCTCCCCGCTCTCCTGCGGCAGTGGAGGCGGGAGCCGGCCCCACATCCTACCCTGCCCTCCCCCTTCTTATCATAAGTCGGCCCCCTCAATCCCTTATCATCACCATCAGCGCAATCGGCATCCTCATCCTCCTCCTCCTCGACTCCTCCTCGTCTCCTCCTCATCGTTTCCTCTTCCTCCTCCTCCTCCTCCTCCTCCTCCTCTTCCTCCTCCTCCTCCTCCTCCTCCTCCTCGCGATCCTCCTCCTCGTCCTCCTCGGCATGATCGCCCCCGTCGACGCGGGCACCACCATCGGCAGCGACCGGGCAGCGTGGGCCCCCTCGCGCCCTCGCCCGCGGGCGTGCCTCGCAGCACGCAGGCGTGCCCCCAGGCCCCCGATGCGTGCCCTCCTCGCCTTCGATCGTTTTTGTTACGGTAGAGGGAAACAATTACTGAACACTCCCCCTCCCCCCCCAAACTCAACGTTGGCACGCGCGGGGGAGACTGCGGTCGAAGTGCATTTCATCAGACCCACCGCCAACTTTGAACATTGGGGGGAGGGGGAGGCGTTGACGGATGAATGTGGCATGTGTTCGCTAATTTGTTCCGAGGCCTGTATTATGTTTGTTGTTACGTGGTTCTTTGTTAGGGAAAGGAACTCTATATATATACACCGACGCTTCTCCCCGACCCTGCGCTGAAATTCGCACAGGAACGCGGATTCTGGTTATACGGGACCCTGGTGTATAGATGTTTCGTTGTTTCCCCGGGACATCGGGGGAAAAAATATACACCACACCACACCAGCGTCGTCCCCGACCCTCAAAAAGTCCTGGGATTGGAAAAAAAACGCCACTGGTAATGTATATGTTCCAGTTTCCGATTTGTTTCTCCTCGCCTGCGATCGTACCCTCCTGGAGTGGGCTCCGTCCCCTTGCGTCGAAGGGCGACCTCTGGCATGAGCATCGTTTGACCGACCCCTGTCGCCATGTGGACGTGGCCTGTGGGCCCCGCTGGCCGAGTTCTACCCCCCCTCCACTGGGGGATGTGGGGCGCTTCTCCGTCGGGTTGCGAGGGGCATGTCCCCAACAGGGGTGGGGAGATGGTGGGGGTCTGGAGGAGAATGGGGATGGGGATAGGCAGAAGAAGAAGAAAAAGAAGAAGGAAAAACGCCATAAACATGAACTTTTGGCGCTCCGCGCAGATTTCTTGGATCTGCGCTGGACACCCCACGGCGCCTCCGTCGCCGCCACTGGCGCGCTCCGCGCGCCAGGGAGGGGGTCCAGCCCAGATCCAAGAAATCTGCGCGGAGCGCCAAAAGTTTATGTTTACGGCGCTTTTTTCTTTGAATAGGAGGGTCGGTGAAACGATACTGACCCACAGGAGCGGTCGGCGCAGTTTGGCGTCGCAGCGCGGCAGAGGCAGTCCCCAGCGCCAGTGGCCGCGCAGCAGGCTCTCCCGGCGCCTCCCAGCGCCAGAGGCCACGCGTCGAGGGACGCGCCTGGCGGTGGGGCTGAAACCAGCTGCACGCCGCAGGCTCCGCACTCCCCCATTGCGCAGTCCCCGCCTCTCGTCCGACCCGAGAGGGCCGTCAGGAGGCGAGGAGGAGGAGGAGGAGGAGGAGGAGGAGGAGGAGGAGGAGCGGGGAGGAGGAGGAGGAGGAGGAGGAGGGGGAGGAGGAGGAGGAGGAGGAGGAGGGCGCGGATGAGAAAAACTGGCCACCTGGGGGACGGGCGACCCGAACAAGCCTGGCCGTCCGAGGTCCGGGCCCGCGGGGGAGCGCTGGGGGGAAACATCGACCCGGCATCGGCGGCGCGTCGATCCGAGAGGTCGGCAACAGGCCCACGATGGCGAAGCCGCACACTCCTGGGCGGTGCGGGCCATCGGGCCCCTGCCGGCGATGGAAGGGCGATCGGGGGTCGCCGCATCCCCCCTTGGCCTATCCTCTGGTGGCTTCCGGGTCATAGATTTGGGCCTCCATCGGCCGCTCGAGACGATCCCGACACGCCCAGAACGCTCGGCGAGAGAGGCGTAGATGCGAACTGCTGGAACGCTCCCCGAGGCTGGAAAACCGCCGAGAGTCGACGAAAACGCCCGAAGCCCCCCCTTAACGTTGCCCCTGGGCATG